CTGGTGGAGTGACCAGTGGTCATTTCCAGCTCCCTACAGTTAGTACTGGTGCAGCAGTGGAAAGTAGGAGTAATACAACATTAATCAGATAACTAAGACCAGCAGCAGACAGCCGAGACAATCACCAAATCATCAACTTACTCTCCATTTCATTAGGTTATTTAATAATATGTACAGTGTTTGGTTACAAATCAAAGCCAAAGTTGCAGCTGTTTTTGTTTTAAGGTCTGCTGCATATGTACATATCGCAGCTGATGGTCTTTATTGTGCAAAAAAAAACATTTACAAATTTACTGGTTTAGTTGAGGGTGACTTGGGACATGCTATAGGGTGTACATGAGGCTTGATGAGGCATAACAGAAACTGTGAGCTTTCATTTTCATGCTGTTTTCACAATTTACTCGCTGGTTTATGCATTTTGTGCTGGCACCATAATGGAAGTAATTTACAAGCGACCAAGTCATTAACTCAAGCTGTGTCTAAAATATAAATTGTCCAACACTGAAAACTGTTGGGATTGACATCCAATATATGACCTTTTCATTTACTTAACACCAGGTATTAACGAATGTCTAATGAATTCCAGACAGTGAAGACAGGTCAAAGACATTGTTAAGTGTAGGAGATATTCATTGGAGTCTGACTGTGCTTGCCTCTATACATACCTTTGTTACAAGGATTTTACTGAAAATCACTATTCATCCTGATGGAAGATAAGAAAGTAAATCTGTTTTGATTCTACTGCCACATTGCCATTAGTCAAATAAACGGGCAAGCTACATCATAGAGTTAGAGGTGGTGTGTTGGAGGTCGTACCCTAACCCAGAATACTCAACTTGTACTTGAGTTTTTTTACTGAGCAGATAATAAATACAAAAGAATTTTAGATTGACAATTTTCTGTCTTGGAAAAGGACCAGAAAAAAGACTTAACAGTTAGGTTTTAGATGATCTATGTCAGAATCTTGTGTAGACTTTTCTACAATTTCCTAATAAGGATGTCTCAACTGCTAACATGACATTAACTTTCAGTTCAATCCAATATGACTGACATTCCAAACGTTCTTATCAAACAAAATGCTTTACAACATTACTTTCACATATCATTATTGTTTGTGAGGTGACGTAATGTTATTGTATATATGGTATATTTAGTAGTATTTGTCACTTTCACGGATATTCTTGTTCACAGAAGGACATTTGTCATGCAATTATCTCTCAAATAATATCTGTAACAGGCAATATAATTTTGACCATCAACATGCCGTTTGACACTGGGAACATAAACATTATTGGAGACTTAAATCGATTTGTAGATAATGAAAGGAAGATCAGATGTCCTTTTATATGCTGTGATCCTTTTATCTTTCTTGTCAATCTCTTTGTCTTTGCCAAACCAATCTTAGAGAATTTCCTTTTGTTACGTGTACCGGTAAAGGTGTACCTACTGGCTATACAGTCAATGAAGAAAATGGATTATACAACAAATATTCCTGATCTACTCCATACAGCAACATGTTTCTGTCTGTATGTGTTTAGACTAAATCAAGCATTGATCCTGTAGTTGACACTAAAGAATAGGGAAAGCAACTTTGGTGAGATTGCAACAAGCTAAATTAACTGCAGGCATTCTTGATTATATATGGCCAGGTAAATCCTGAAGCACTGACAGGTGTTGTTGCCTTTATGGTACTTCTGTGGCTTGCTAGCTGTTCAGGTGTGAAATCTGTACTTTGATGCCTGATGAGTGAAAAAAGGGTATGTTTGTAATTAATTGTGTAGTGAAACAATTGTTGTACTGATATTTGTATTGGTGTTATCTAGTTTTGTAGGTTTTCACTCTTTTGTTCGACTTCATCACCAGGGAATTGTATATCTATATATACATAACAGTTTGTTTACTATCAACAAGCCTGGTCGGTAATAAAAAAGGACATTCTACGTAATGGTTGGGCGGATTTCAAGTGTTCAAGCTGTACCTATTAAAGGAATTGGCAATGACTGACTGGTGTCCTGCAGGTTCCAGGAAGAAAATTGATCAAACATTTGATTTGTTTCTGAAGAACCGCTGAGAATAGCTCTTGAACTTGTGCTTTTGCCAACTTATTGTTGAGTTTGAAGCAATTCCTCTAATTTAAAGGAAGTAAAACACCATGGAAATAGGTTTTTCCTTTTTGAATGTTTTCAAAAAATTAATCATACATCACAATATTCAGACAAATGTTATATGGTATATATCATATGTTGGGGAACTATAGGAATGTGCATGCTGTACAGATAAACCCTTGTATCACTTAAATATTCAAATCCAGAATTTCTTATAAAGCAGAACTTCAGTTTTGTAATACTCTTATCACTTATAAAAAACAACTGTCACCAGATTATGTAAAACTATTTGATTAGAAACCGTTCAACATCATCTTCAAAGAAAGAAAACCCAGAGTAAAGTCATTCATCTGAAATTAAACTGGTGCTCTTGAAGGAAGCTTTGTAATTAAAATGAGGATTCTGATGACTCTGTCTGCCATTATTTTGACAATAACTGCTGATGATATATCTTGTTTGGGTTTTCAAGCATTGTTGGGTGTTTCACAAATGCTTTGAAATCCCATGACTTGCCTCTGCAAGGCTGCTCTCAAAGAAGGTTCATTGTTTTGCTGGGTCTGATAGTAACTAACTTGATGCTGTGGTGTCACTGTGTTTACAATACTACCTACACAGAAGACTTTGATAGTGCAGCTTTTGACACTGAACAGATTCCCAATTGGCTTTTAATGAAGCAAATAGCACCATAAAGCAGTTCCAATTTGCCAGGATCTGACAGTGGAAATGACAGGAAGTGCTTTATTTCTGCAGAGTTTGTTATTCATGTTCAGGAATAGAAAGAAAATCAGAGCTGGTTTTATCTTCATCGTTACTATGTCATATGTTTCCATCTCCTTACCAGAATCTCGCCCCAATTTTTATATAAAGTGCAAAATGTTGGGAGTGTATAGAGTTTCATCTTTCAGGGTGATGAGATTAGAATCTAATTTTCTTGTTTATAAAATAATTGTTTATGCTTCTACAGTTTAAAGCAGTAACAACTAGACAGAAGCTTTTAATCCAATCTGAAATGTTCTAAACATAAAAACTATTTGTCTGTTTGATTTATTTGCATGGTATTAACCATTTTGTATGCAGGTGGAATTTCGTGAAGTTCAGAGGTCACATTGACCTTGAACCTTTAAGAGGATAATTTTCTACAAAAGATACTTTGTTACCAGGAACACATCCCTCAAAGGAAGATGTTACCTTGGCCTCAGTATTAGTTTGTAACATTAAACTATTGTTCTGCACATGCTCCTTTAATGTCAGTCAAAAACGTCTAGATTTGTCAGACGTAACCTTTGACCCATGCACAAATACATGGTTATCTTATACCTCCATATGTAAATGCTGTGCAGCAAGGGGAAAATTGTTTGTACATAAACAGTATATATGATCTGGACATATTTTTCTCCAACATCACTTCTTCGTAAGAAGATTGTTATGTATGTGAATGATCTATAGCTGATTTCTGACCCAACATCCCAAGAAAATTCCTCATAAATTCAAACTACTGTATCTCTTTACCGACTTGTTTACTTTTCCGTCTGATATTTGGTTTATTACCATGTAAAAGACTTGACAATTAAAGGGAAGGCTGCTGTGATGGGTAGCAGTCTATGTATAATTATACAGAACTTTGCTAACTCATGGTTCAAAAGTATTTGGATCCCTTCTCCCTGTTTATATGCTGGATGTGAATTATACCATCAACCCTTCTATATTTTTTTTTTCCACAGCTAAGAGCTTTTCAAGTGCCAGAGAGAAAACACAAAAAAACATTTACTTCACTGTTCGGAAGTATTTTGAAATTACTCTCTCTTAATAGTCATTTAAATTCACATTAATGATAATTACTTAAAATAGCAGAAGTCAACCAATGAAAAGGGAGTGTTACATGTCATCTCCATGGTAACAGTTAGAGGGCACTGAAAGAATGAAAAGTTAGCCAGGTCTCTTTTTATAGTAGAGAAATGGACAGACGTAAGATTTTAAAAAAATCTGCTTGCAAATACAACAAACCAGATATAGATCTTCATTTAGGAATCAGTGATTGAAGAGGTGCAAGGAAAGCGCTAAGCATAAGATAGGGAAAGGTTTTGCTGTAATGACTTCTACAGTTGGTTCAGGGATATTTTTTTCTGTAGAAGAAATGTACCCATGTCACCATATGAAAAATGTACTGGACTTTAATGAGATGGTTAATTTATCAAGCTGAGGGCTTCACAGTGCATTTACTAGGGTTTCTAGCTAATCGTACTAGCTCACTGTTTATAAAACAAGATTCCCTGATAAAATTTTGAAATTAATTACCATAACACTGTTTTCTCACATGGTTTACTAAAACAAGATTAAGGGTAATACTGGGCCTACAGATTTCCATACCGCTTGTTACTTTAGCACAAATGTTTTCATGATCAAGTCAGATGCTTCTAGAAATCACAATAAACATGATTCTGTAAATATAAAACCTCACAGATTCTGGAAATATATTGTATATACTGACATCTCTATATATATATTTTCTTGTCAGATTTGACAAATTATATGAAAAACTACTTTTTTGATTAATCGGTCTCAATCATTTTTACTGTAAATCATGACTCAAAACAGTGTTTATAAAGTGGTATATGTATTTTAAAATACCAGTTGTGATGAGAAAAAAAATGATTTAACAATAAATGTATACGTGAATTCTGTAGATTCTCAAAATATACCCTACCACGATGTTTGTTAAAGTAGTACACATAGTCGCGTCTATAGCATTTTGTGGCCAGTCAAAAAACTTAAATACTGCCTACATTACATAGCTAGGAACAAATTTGTGCACTATAAATGTATTTTGTCAATGTAGTGAAGATAAAGTCTGCACTTTTAACCTCTGTAAAACCTCCTTCCTGTTATAAATTTCAGACTGCTCAATGTTAAAGATCGCAAGAAAGTATCAGGGAACCGGTTTCGGATCACAGGAGTGACTGCAGAGGATAATGGCATATACTCATGTCGGGCGGTGAATGTCGCCGGAGCAGTGGATAGCCCAGTCAAATTCCTCCTAAACGTGAAAGGTAATCAGGAAAACCAAGTCATACATTGTACCTACCCATCACCTTCCCCACAAAGGTAAGACATCACCTCACACTCACAGGTAAAAACAACAATAGCATCACCTTCCCCACAAAGGTAAGACATCACCTCACACTCACAGGTAAAAACAACAGACATCACCTCACACTCACAGGTAAAAACAACAGACATCACCTCACACTCACAGGTAAAAACAACAATAGCATCGCTTTGCCCACAAAGGTAATAAACGACAGAGACATCACCTCACACTCACAGGTAAAAACAACAGACATCACCTCACACTCACAGGTAAAAACAACAATAGCATCGCTTTGCCCACAAAGGTAATAAACGACAGAGACATCACCTCACACTCACAGGTAAAAACAACAGACATCACCTCACACTCACAGGTAAAAACAACAATAGCATCGCTTTGCCCACAAAGGTAATAAACGACAGAGACATCACCTCACACTCACAGGTAAAAACAACAGACATCACCTCACACTCGCAGGTAAAAACAACAAAGGCATCGCTTTGCCCACAAAGGTGAAAATCACAAAGGTATCACCTCACACTCACAGGTAAAAAAAACAAAGGCATCAATTTGCCCACAAAGGTAAAAACAACAAACGCATCAATTTGCCCACAAAGGTAAAAACAACAAAGGCATCAATTTGCCCACAAAGGTAAAAACAACAGTGGCATCACCTTACATACAAACATAAAAAGTAAAAAATCACCTCGCTCATAAAAGTCAAAACGATAGAAGAAGAAAACGTAGGTTTGTCTGTAAACAACATTGATTTCAATTTGTCATGTGAAATTGTTGAAATGTGGAACTCTATTCAGAAGAAAAAGAATTGTCTTTAGTGTCACTTGTTTAATTTTCGACAGAAACCTTATAGATTTGATGTCAAGAACATCAGTTTTTTCATGGTATACATGATCTGCATTCTGTTGTAGCCTAAAACAGTCCCCTGTTGTATGATAACCTTTAGACTGTAGCCTTGACAACGTCACTGGACAAGGCCATCTCTACATCTTGGTTACCGTGGCAATAACTACTGGCTACCAGACATAGATACCATATGACAGACTTATTTTCATTTATTGTTATTGTTTCTTTTTTAAGAATAGTTTTTATTAGTGAGAGTTTCTGTCAGGGAATATTATACACTTTTGACTTTACCATCATCCCTACCTAGCAGCAAGTGTTCTATAGCTCCATAGCCAATGCAGTGCCGGCTTGTAAAAGGTTAGCACTGGAATTGACAGGGAGCAGCCTGCTGCTTAGCTGTTGCAGCATGAAAGGCCTTTCTCTATACAGGTTGGCTATCTGTTTGTTCTAAATAAATAATAAAACATTTCTCAAGGATGAACCTGATGAGCAGGACCTATAACTTGTCTGACTAATTTGTTGATATAGACTCAGGTTAAGGATATATTGATTGGAGTAGCAATGAACAATTACACCTGAAAGGAGTATCAAACAATATCACTTGTATACCTACTTGTTTTACCTACATACAGAAGTAATTATCAAGAAGGGAATTCAATAAGGGAAAGTACATTTTTAGTTGCCATGTTGTTGTGGCTCTCAGACTTAACAAAGGCGTTCATGCAAGACTGACTACAGTGTTCTGTTAAATCATTGTAACAATTTTATAAGATTGAATTAAAATCTTTTTTTATCATTATTGATGAAGTTTTCTACAATAGAAAGATTTGTTAATAGGTAATTTAACTGTTATGAAAGGAGCATTAATTGATAAACAGGCATTCCATCAGACTGTCAAACGGAACATGATATTAATGTTTGTTGTCTGATGTAATTTGAGCCAGTGCCTTAATAGAATTACATGGAAAGCATGTGCATAGGGTCTTATTGTCACACTGTCACAAGTTTTAGATGTCAGTAGTGTGACTCAGCGCCATGTATTATCAGTGATAGTTACACAACCATGTATGAATCAAAACTGTTTCAAGATCCTTTGTACGGTTATATGATAAATAAACAGCTGATCATTTTTGGTGTAACATGTTATAATGAGTGAAAATATGATAACAAGTAACACTGTGGTCTATAGTCGTTGATAAGTTTCCTAAATAGTATGATAATGTTACAAATCGAAAAAGTACGACATGCTATGACATCACACAGTGATGACATTATAACAACTGTAAATGACGATGAAATGTTGGTGCTACCGTATCAGAGATAAGATATATTTGTAATTCTGGCTTCAGTTTCACCGCTTGTTATCAATGAAAGTGAATCATAAGCAGTGACAGGAAAATAGGAGTGATGAAAAATAGAATGAATTTTAAGCTTATCTCCTGTATGTATCCACCTAGTTTATCATTGTTAAATGGGAGTGATGAAAAATAGAATGTTAAGCTTATCTCCTGTATGTATCCACCTAGTTTATCATTGTTAAATGGGAGTGATGAAAAATAGAATGTTAAACTTATCTCCTGTATGTATCCACCTAGTTTATCATTGTTAAATAGGAGTGATGAAAAATAGAATGTTAAGCTTATCTCCTGTATGTATTCACCTAGTTTATCATTGTTAAATAGGAGTGATGAAAAATAGAATGAATTTTAAGCTTATCTCCTGTATGTATCCACCTAGTTTATCATTGTTAAATGGGAGTGATGAAAAATAGAATTTTAAACTTATCTCCTGTATGTATCCACCTAGTTTATCATTGTTAAATAGGAGTGATGAAAAATAGAATTTTAAACTTATCTCCTGTATGTATCCACCTAGTTTATCATTGTTAAATAGGAGTGATGAAAAATAGAATGTTAAGCTTATCTCCTGTATGTATCCACCTAGTTTATCATTGTTAAATGGGAGTGATGAAAAATAGAATGTTAAACTTATCTCCTGTATGTATCCACCTAGTTTATCATTGTTAAATAGGAGTGATGAAAAATAGAATGTTAAGCTTATCTCCTGTATGTATCCACCTAGTTTATCATTGTTAAATAGGAGTGATGAAAAATAGAATTTTAAACTTACCTCCTGTATGTATCCACCTAGTTTATCATTGTTAAGTAGGAGTGATGAAAAATAGAATTTTAATCTTATCTCCTGTATGTATCCACCTAGTTTATCATTGTTAAATGGGAGTGATGAAAAATAGAACTTTAAACTTACCTCCTGTATGTATCCACCTAGTTTATCATTGTTAAGTAGGAGTGATGAAAAATAGAATGTTAAGCTTATCTCCTGTATGTATCCACCTAGTTTATCATTGTTAAGTAGGAGTGATGAAAAATAGAATTTTAAACTTACCTCCTGTATGTATCCACCTAGTTTATCATTGTTAAATGGGAGTGATGAAAAATAGAATTTTAAACTTACCTCCTGTATGTATCCACCTAGTTTATCATTGTTAAGTAGGAGTGATGAAAAATAGAATGTTAAGCTTATCTCCTGTATGTATCCACCTAGTTTATCATTGTTAAATAGGAGTGATGAAAAATAGAATTTTAATCTTATCTCCTGTATGTATCCACCTAGTTTATCATTGTTAAATGCTCATATTGTGTTAGAGATCATCTTTAGTGTAATAACAACAGTAGTTAATTCTATATTTGCAGCACCAAACACACCACATCTAATAGAGTCCGAGTTTACACGGTCCCTCTTGGTCCTGAAGAATGATGTAGCTAGGCTTGATTGTCCATTCTCAAATGCCTCCAGGATTGAATGGTTTGATGACCATGCCAAGCTCTCCAATAATAGCAGGTAACAAAGACAACAAAGTTTGTACTGACTGTAACAAAAAATGGTACACATTTCATTGAAATGTTTCTTTTGTTGTAGTTTTCTCTTAATATCCATGATATCAACCCGTAATAATTATTTTTTTTGGCCTTATAATAGTAGTTTGCAGGGTGTGGGGAAAACCTGTATGGTCTAGTGGTCGTTTGTAGGGTGTGGGGAAAACCTGTATGGTCTAGTGGTCGTTTGTAGGGTGTGGGGAAAACCTGTATGGTCTAGTGGTAGTTTGTAGGGTGTGGGGAAAACCTGTATGGTCTAGTGGTCGTTTCTAGGGTGTGGGGAAAACCTGTACGGTCTAGTGGTCGTTTGTAGGGAGTGGGAAAACCTGTATGGTCTAGTGGTCGTTTGAAGGGTGTGGGGAAAACTTGTATGGTCTAGTGGTCGTTTGCAGGGTGTGGGAAAAACTTGTATGGTCTAGTGGTAGTTTACAGGGTGTGGGGAAAACTTGTATGGTCTGATGGTAGTATTCAGGGTGTGGGGAAAACTTGTATGGTCTAGTGGTAGTTTGCAGGGTGTGGGAAAAACTTGTATGGTCTAGTGGTAGTTTGCAGGGTGTGGGAAAAATTTGTATGGTCTAGTGGTAGTTTACAGGGTGTGGGGAAAACTTGTATGGTCTAGTGGTAGTTTGCAGGGTGTGGGAAAAATTTGTATGGTCTAGTGGTAGTTTACAGGGTGTGGGGAAAACTTGTATGGTCTAGTGGTAGTTTGCAGGGTGTGGGAAAAACTTGTATGGTCTAGTGGTAGTTTGCAGGGTGTGGGACAAATTTGTATGGTCTAGTGGTAGTTTGCAGGGTGTGGGTGAAACTTGTATTGTCTAGTGGTAGTATTCAGGGTGTGAGGAAAGCTGTATGGCCAAGACCTGGCTGTGGTGTATGCAGAGTTTGGGAAAACTTGTATGGCCTAACAGTAGTATGAAAGGTTTGGGATGTACTTAAAATACTCTCAGGTAGAGGTTTTGTATGGCTGTACACCTGAAGTAGCAGTAACAGCAGTTATTCTTTATTACAGATATTCTTACTAAGGTTGCCATGGCTACCAGGCTAACCACTCATTGTTATACATTATTGAGAGATTTAAAAAAATCTAAATGCTTATAATTTATAACCTCAGCTATTTAATAGATTGTTGTGTCTGGCTTTTGATAAGAACTTCTAGAGAAGATATTGATCTTCGGCTGCAAATTGAAAAAAAAATTAATTGAAAGGTTAAAGGTCAGTGGCAGAATGCAGGTTCAAAATGTTACAATATAGATTTCTGTATTGGGTGAAAGAAATCATAATTGTGAGCATTGTCATCAAGTAGGTTTCAAGTACAATACACTTGTAGAAACTGTAATGGATTGTAAGTGTCAGTAAGAGAGAATGAGATGAAAACCTTGATCAAAACTTCGATTAACATAGCGTTAAAGTACATGTTCTGTTATATGGCATTGTCTATGGCATATGGCATTGTCTGTTTAGGAGACTGACTAGCAGCTAGGACATCAACTACATTGTCTGTTTAGGAGACTGACTAGCAGCTAGGACATCAACCTCATTGTCTGTTTAGGAGACTGAGTAGCAGCTAGGACATCAACCTCATTGTTTGTTAGGAGACTGACTAGCAGCTAGGACATCAACCACATTGTCTGTTTAGGAGACTGACTAGCAGCTAGGACATCAACCTCATTGTCTGTTTAGGAGACTGACTAGCAGCTAGGACATCAACTACATTGTCTGTTTAGGAGACTGACTAGCAGCTAGGACATCAACCTCATTGTTTGTTAGGAGACTGACTAGCAGCTAGGACATCAACCTCATTGTTTGTTAGGAGACTGACTAGCAGCTAGGACATCAACCTCATTGTCTGTTTAGGAGACTGACTAGCAGCTAGGACATCAACTACATTGTCTGTTTAGGAGACTGACTAGCAGTTAGGACATCAACCTCATTGTTTATTAGGAGACCGACTAGCAGCTAGGACATCAACCTCAATGTCTGTGTAGGAGACCGACTAGCACCTAGGACATCAACCTCATTGTTTGTTAGGAGACCGACTAGCACCTAGGATATCAACCTCATTGTTTGTTAGGAGACTGACTAGCACCTAGGACATCAACCTCATTGTTTGTTAGGAGACTGACTAGCACCTGGGACATCAACCTCATTGTCTGTTTAGGAGACTGACTAGCAGCTAGGACATCAACCTCATTGTCTGTTTAGGAGACTGACTAGCAGCTAGGACATCAACTACATTGTCTGTTTAGGAGACTGACTAGCAGTTAGGACATCAACCTCATTGTTTGTTAGGAGACCGACTAGCAGCTAGGACATCAACCTCAATGTCTGTGTAGGAGACCGACTAGCACCTAGGACATCAACCTCATTGTTTGTTAGGAGACCGACTAGCACCTAGGATATCAACCTCATTGTTTGTTAGGAGACTGACTAGCACCTAGGACATCAACCTCATTGTTTGTTAGGAGACTGACTAGCACCTGGGACATAAGCCACATTGTCTGTTTAGGAGACTGATTAGCAGCTAGGACATCAACCTCATTGTCTGTTTAGGAGACTGACTAGCAGCTAGGACATCAACTACATTGTCTGTTTAGGAGACTGACTAGCAGTTAGGACATCAACCTCATTGTTTGTTAGGAGACCGACTAGCAGCTAGGACATCAACCTCAATGTCTGTGTAGGAGACCGACTAGCACCTAGGACATCAACCTCATTGTTTGTTAGGAGACCGACTAGCACCTAGGATATCAACCTCATTGTTTGTTAGGAGACTGACTAGCACCTAGGACATCAACCTCATTGTTTGTTAGGAGACTGACTAGCACCTGGGACATAAGCGACATTGTCTGTTTAGGAGACTGATTAGCAGCTAGGACATCAACCTCATTGTTTGTTAGGAGACTGACTAGCAGCTAGGACATCAACCACATTGTCTGTTTAGGAGACAACATTGTTTGTTAAGAGACCGACTAGCAGTTAGGACATCAACCTCATTGTTTGTTAGGAGACTGACTAGCAGCTAGGACATCAACCACATTGTTTGTTAGGAGACTGACTAGCACCTAGGACATCAACCTCATTGTTTGTTAGGAGACTGACTAGCAGCTAGGACATCAACCACATTTTCTGTTTATATCTGTCTCACAGTTTCACCTTTCCTTTCTTGCTATATGTAGGGTATCTTACCGAAGTTTTCATTCAGATGAGAAGTATATGTAGCCTCTGGTGAAGTCAAATAAAAACTTTGTGAATAGTCATAACAAAACATAATTCACTGAGTGTTATTGCATGGATAGAATAACTTATGTGATAGATATAATTACACTTACATATTGATGGTAAATGGTAAATGCATTAAGTGCAGCACCCCTTTGAACTTTGAAAGAGTTATCGCCCTTTGTTTCTGTACCAAAATTTGTCCTTAACATGTCTCTTCCCAGTCACTTCACCAAGGTTTGATAAGTCACAAACTTGTGTTGTTTGGCAGGACAGAATGATCTGCAACAAAGTTATGTTCATTGATTTGTTTGGTCCAAAACCTTAAATGTTGGGAGTATGGACATTCTTCACATTTCAAGAAGAAACATTGAATGTATTATTCAATGCTGAATACTTTTATTAAATATAGATAGTTGTTTCAAAAATTGTTAAAAGTTTACGCACACATTTCATTAGAACAGGAAAACAGAAAAAGACAAGGATATGAAAATCTCCTGAAGTTTGTGTTATGTGATTTGATAAAAAAGTGTTAGTTTGTCTCCCACATTTCTGTATTATTTTATTGGTAAGGTTTAACTATAAAGGAGGCGTTGACATCAAAATCTCTGTGTATATCATGTGATTATGTTTGCTGCGACATAAATATACCCGTGGGTATCATTGTCATGTCTCATTATTGTTCAGTCAACTCTATTGTCGTTGTTTTGAACCTGAAGGCTTGTCGTTTATACAGGAGAGTATTTTCATCGGCCCAATTCAGTGCCATTTAAAAAAAGAAAAACACTTAAATTTTGCAAATGAGTGCAGTCAATATTGAAAAGACATTAACTGTAAATGTTCTGTCAAAGACGGATGTCCATTAGGATTTTCATTTTTGATGATACAAGTTATGTCTGTGCAGATGAGTGTCGTGTTATGTATGTGTTAAAAGGATCGTTAGGAGCTATTGTTTTATGTCGACTATAGCTTTGTTTGTATGACAACATAGCTGAATTCACATTCTGAAGCAGGATTATTTTATTACTACGATTTTAGCTGAAGCAAGCAAGGCAGTTGATCTTTAAACATTAATGGCCAACAGTAATGTAGTGATTTCAGTAAATTAATAAAGTTGAGGGTACGTAGACTGCCAACAATAATTCTTACATTACCCCACTTTTATGATGGGTTTATTGTTTGTGAGCGGTTTTGGCATTGCCTTAATTACAGAGCACCTGTTAGAGAAACCTACAGGTGCACTAATTAAGTCGATAATGTTGTTATGAAATTTCTCAAACATTTTTACCCTTATGTAATCCATATGGGTTTATATATCTTCCAGACATACAATCTTCAACAACGGATCCCTGTACTTTCCAAGAGTACGTCAGGTGGATGAAGGCTTTTACCGATGTGAAGGACTAGGTGACAACCGTGACATCCCTGCCCAGAGGTTTATGTCCGAACTCATATTAGCTAGTAAGTTTTAATAGCCTGGAAACCAGCTGGTAACTAAAATGATGGTCTCAAACACCCCAGAAACAAACAACTTTAAAATGAAATGTAAGATGTGTCTTTCATTATGTACATTAGATATTGCTTTTGTTCCAGAAATTTTGTGCATTTCTGACTGGAGCATGTAAATTATTTCCAATGCTATGTAAAGTGGATTTAAAACAAAGAATTTTTCGGACATGTTTTGCACATGATTGTTGTATAGAATTACACATCATGCAGAGAGGGGAAATGTTTTTATCTGAACAGTTGTTACATGTACAGGTTTTTCAAGCCAAAATATAATCCTACTATGCGTTGTTTATAACTGTACTATGTGTTGAAACCTAATAAATGGTGGAAGTGTAAAATGTGCTGAAGATGGCAGTCGTTAACAGCAGATGTACAGTCTGTATAGATCGGAGGTTGTAATATACCCAGAGGGAGAGAGTCTCTCAGAGACCCTCACCTGGCACTTTAAGTTACCACCTGACAGGGAATCGATAGCATGCTTTTGATACCAGGGTTACTCTCATCACTGCTAACTTCCTGCATTAGGCTTTCCAGAAAACATTTTCTGTTAAAGCTTCAAAATCGTTTATATGTACTTCAGATATCATAAAATAATTAGTGACTGTGGAACAACAAAACAAAAAGTCGATGATTGTTTTAGGTTTAGATCTGTTATACGTTTTGTGTGTTAACCAGATAACAGACTTTTTGTCTTGGATTTAACTCGAAACTCTGACTTATTCCAATATATCTTTCTCACAAACATTTGTTCCCTGTTGCTGCTTTTGTTTCTGTTTCACTGTGATAACCTTCCTTTGAATCTGTCACGCAATTAACCAGGAGTTCCTGATCCCATCCCCTCCAAAATGTATAGGTCTTGATTCCTCCCTGCTGATTTTGCTGTTTCGTAATATCATTTATTCTCTTTCCCTTTTATCAAAATTTAATTCCATGATTGTTTGAAAAATTTGCTGCATTTTGCTGAACAACCCTCTGTAAATATTTAAATCCATATGCTGTTGTATGTTTTTTTCATTATCAATTTCCGTTTGTTGATGGATCGAGATAATGAGTTCTTTGGAATAACTGTGATAAAGATGTGTTGTGATCCATGGTACATCCACCAGACACATCCTGACTGGGTCTTATCATATCATAATGAACAATGATAGTGGATAGATTGGATCAAAGTTTTCCCAGGAAGTCATATCATAATTCTAACTCCCACACCAACAGGTAATACACATTTTGTCACACACAGTCTGTATTACAAACAGATGACAAAGCATTATGTTTTTTTCCAGTAACTAATTTCATATCTTGTGTAACATTGCAAGCTTAAGCATTTTATCTAAACTTTTTACAGACATTAAAAGCTTTTCTTTCTTTGCAAACATTTTCATTTTGGATTCCTACCTAGAATGTTTTTGTTTAGACCAGCTGTAAATGATCAGATCTTTCTACTTTATTTACACCATATTTCCTTAAAAGTCCTCCTCCCCTCCTAAAATCAGCTAGAAACGTAACATCGAAATGCCTAATGACATCCTAATGACATTGTTCTCTAAACTTTCTCAATTTCTTCTTAATTTGATCAGATGAAATCTTAAAAACTCCTTTTTTTTTAACTGGTGAATTTAAAGAAAAACAGATGATGACTTGTGTGTATGGAAGGGTTTAGGCCGTAGTTATCATTTGTCACTGTAACTTTTAGTGTGATTGGAGACACCCCAGATGGCACAAAAGACTCCCAAACCAGGCTGTACCCCTGTCCTACAGAAATAGAGAGGACAGATTGTTGTAGGGGTTCAAATGTCCTATCTGTCTTGCTCATGCTAATGTGAAAAGCAGTAATTTCTATTTGTCAGGCTACACTATGTGAATTCTGGGGAAATGATAAACAGTAGGTATCAGGTTCACTTCTATGTCCACAGTGCACTGTACTGCATCACACAATTAACAAAAAAGAAATTAATACAAAAAGTTTGCATTGATATCAGAACGATAGAATGAAATTGAATATCGTTTTATTGATGAAACAGTGTCAAAATTATTTGGAATGACAGCTTAATTTTCGCCAATGATTAAGTAAAAGAAGATAAGTTCTTTAATGTAAATTGCTAAAGGAAAACTATCAATAACAATTTGATGTATAACATCCAATAGAATGAAAAACATACCCATCATGATCCATTGTACATCAAATAGAATGAAAAATTTACCCATCATGATCCACTGTACATCAAATAGAATGAAAAATTTACCCATCATGATCCACTGTACATCAAATAGAATGAAAAATTTACCCAACATGATCCACTGTACATCAAATAGAATGAAAAATTTACCCATCATGATCCACTGTACATCAAATAGAATGAAAAATTTACCCATCATGATCCACTGTACATCAAATAGAATGAAAAATTTACCCAACATGATCCACTGTACATCAAATAGAATGAAAAATTTACCCATCATGATCCACTGTACATCAAATAATATGAAAAAATTACCCAACATGATCCACTGTACATCAAATAGAATGAAAAATTTACCCAACATGATCCACTGTACATCAAATAGAATGAAAAATTTACCCATCATGATCCACTGTACATCAAATAGAATGAAAAATTTACCCAACATGATCCACTGTACATCAAATAGAATGAAAAATAGAATGAAAAATTTACCCATCATGATCCACTGTACATCAAATAGAATGAAAAATTTACCCATCATGATCCACTGTACATCAAATAGAATGAAAAATTTACCCATCATGATCCACTGTACATCAAATAGAATGAAAAATTTAAATGATCCACTGTACATCAAATAGAATGAAAAATCATGATCCACTGTACATCAAATAGAATGAAAAATTTACCCATCATGATCCATTGTACATCAAATAGAATGAAAAATTTACCCATCATGATCCACTGTACATCAAATAGAATGAAAAATTTACCCATCATGATCCACTGTACATCAAATAGAATGAAAAATTTACCCATCATGATCCACTGTACATCCATTAGAATGAAAAATTTACCCATCATGATCCACTGTACATCAAATAGAATGAAAAATTTACCCATCATGATCCACTGTACATCCATTAGAATGAAAAATTTACCCATCATGATCCACTGTACATCAAATAGAACGAAAATTTTTACCCAACATGATCCACTGTACATCAAATAGAATGAAAAATTTACCCATCATGATCCACTGTACATCAAATAGAATGAAAAATTTACCCATCATGATCCACTGTACATCAAATAGAACGAAAAATTTACCCAACATGATCCACTGTACATAATTTGAAGAAAACTTTCCAGTTAATGTCTAGTTACCCCAGGTATACAATGATTTACAGTGAAGATCTATTTATAGCTATTTACCCTTTTATCAATTCAGACAGATCAGAGTACTGTATATCAAAATACCTGTGGCCTGTTAAGGTGCAGACAGATCAGAGTACTGTATATCAAAATACCTGTGGCCTGTTAAGGTGCAGACAGATCAGAGTACTGTATATCAAAATACCTGTGGCCTGTTAAGGTGAACATTTGAGCCAAAAAATCACATATCAATTAAATTGATACAAGTCAATGAATATTCTTTTGCAAAAAATCATGGGAAACAATGTTATTTAAAAATTACAGCAGATTAACTGTCTGATTGATTTTCTTTTTGAAAGAAGGTAGATCAAAGGTTATATCGTTGTTATAGGACTAACCTGGTAACATTGTGGAATCACTAGATCCAAAAGTCACGAAAACATTAACAAAATGAAAGTTACCATAAACAAGAACTGTATTCTTAGCTTGTACACTTAATTTTTCCTTAAATTCATGGTGTTATTGAATACAGATATACACAATGATTACTTTGAAAGTGACAGACATTTTTAATTTTTTGAGTACACTTGTGTAACCTTCTCTGGTACAAAGTCATTAGTACAATGTACCATTCACAATCTATAAAGTTGTTTGAAACACATCCTGTCACTTCCTTACAACCTAATAATAGCTACTTTTCTAAAGGATAACCCCTTATCCCATATCACATTCCAAGTATATTTGAAAAAAAGGGATAAAATGAAGAACTGAACTCAATAACCCTTTGGTTGGTGTAGATGATGCTAAAATTCAGAGTAGAAATAGAGCTTGTTGAGAAACTTATAGGGTTGGGCAATGAATAGTCATTGCCTGTTACTTAAAGAGAAAGAAAAAAAAGTTTAATTTTAAAGATGAAAGAATCAATTTACATTCATCCACATTTTCCAGTGGAACAGAAATTTCTACAGCACCAAATGCTATACACAGAATTGTAGATGCTGTCATTTTACATATTAAAAAGGAATCATTTATATAGAAGATTAATAGGCTTAATTGGCTCACTTCCTTCCTAAAAGCATTTCTGATAAATTTTCCTTAAAGTGGAAGCCATTTTTTACATTAGGATATAAAAACAACACATTTATCTGTCTTGAGTGAGTTGTACACTGTGTTGATAGGAAAAGAGAAAATATTCATAGATAGGAATTTACCATAAATTCTAAATGTTTGAGTGAGACCAGAAATCATGCCACAATTCCAGGATAAGAAACTGTTTCCAAGTAGACAACTATGGTATAGGACACTTGATAGTAAGTAACATGATGTTAGGCTTACACAGATAAACACATTAAGTCTTTAATTGATTCCTGGCTGATTGTAGGGTCCATCTTACCGTCAGCTATTCATCTCTGTAGTTAAGACAAGAGCTTTCTTACTTCATCAATTCATAAAGAAAGCTGATCGTATTATCAGGAATGTTAAAGGAAATAATCTTGATGTGACATTATTTTGTTGAAATGTGGTGCAGTTTTTACATTAATCTTTATACAGCCACGGTGGTATGGAAGAATTATGTGAAAGAAAGGCGGGTCACTCTAGTTTAATTATCCACAAGGTCTTTTAATCAGGAGATAGCCATGTTGTTTAGACAGATAACTAATTTCCCTGACAGTGCCCTAAGGTTAAAAAGACAAATATGTTCTAAACAGTGAGACCAGATGTGGATCTAGAAATGGGTACCAGGATGTATAAGATCACAGAGGTCACAAGATTGTGTTGTCTCTTAGAGTTTCAAGGTCAGATGTCACATTGAAATGGATGTTTTCCCTCCCACTATCGTTAAAAAAAACACTATGGGACAGATATTTAAATTGGAGAGAACATGATATAATGTTAGATAAAAGATACATTTATAACCATACATCAGAAATCCTATATCCTTATAATTGGTACAACCTAGAACAGGTGTGTATTGGGAAGGAGCAGACAGCACAAGTAAGGAATTCTTACATCACTTCAAAACTGTAATACAAATCATTCCATTTAACCCCACTGGCAAATGACCTTTAGATAAGTAAATTGATGAATTTTTGTGACCCTGAGCAGGAGTAAGGTTTTTGACAAGTGTGTTGTGTTTGACTGGGTGGGGTTGAGGATTATGTTTCGTGGTACCTGTGATGTGACAGATACTACAGACTCCTATCATAGGTGTATTGACATGATGGCCACAGCTAATCAATACAGGGCCAGAACGTTTTTTGTAAACATCCTGTGATGATAGACTGAATTACCATCCAGGTACAGGCCTGCAATTGGAAAGTAATGTATTAGATAGAAAATTAGAATGTTACTGAAAGTAAAGTAGATTTGTGGTGATATTTCTTACCAATTTGTGTAGTATTGTTTCATGCTAAACAAAAACTGTACTGATACTCTTTATTCCATCTTTTAACTTGGGACAAAGCGGTAGCAGAAGGTTTGTGTTCAGAATGTATTTTTATATTATTACGTTAGGAGAAGATAAGCCAGCATCAGGAATGTGTTGGTCGGTGGTTAAAGAGAGCAAGTCTGTTAATGAAATGCCAAAGTATATACTGCTACTGTTCACAATCAGAAGATATGGAGCTACCTTAGGGCCCTACAAAAACCAGGCATTGAAATTTTCCAGGTGGAACCTGAACTAGACATTCGTGAATGGTTCTGGTGTGCTGTAATCAAAACAGTAAAGAAATTTGGTACAAGGTTCGTAAGTACTACAGGTTTGAGGCCAGAGGACAAGTGTAATGACGACATTGAATGAATCCAGGTGTTACAATGATCTGAGCGAGACTGCAGGTATAAGATGGGCTCAATGGTCCCAGTATAAGAAGGCTCCAAGTATTTACAGAGTTCTTCATGCTTTACAATGTTTGTGTATTTTTATAAGAGTTTTTAGATAAACATAACTCTTACACAGGGAAAAGAGTGATGCCAATCTAGTCACTCAAATGTCACTTATATTTCAAACACAACTGAAGAAAATAAAATTTATGGAAACAATTGAGAAACAGCAGTGATTTAACAAGTGTTGAATCTTTTTACAGTTTACTTGTCAGTGTTACAGTATTATCATTGTTTTTTTTTTATTTCTGCAAGTAAAATGAAATTCTGTGCTAATTGCTGAAAAAAAAATTAAAGAAAAAAAGTTTTGAAAGGGATCAGATGGATTATATTTTATAGTTTTTTGAGCCTTTTGTCTCTGCGGTGTTGACAGGGTTGTAACCAGCTCTTTACTAGAGAATTATGTTATGTTCAAATGCATCTTAGATTGTCAACACTTCATGCTCCTAATCAAATTATTTTTTATTTAAGTTGATTTGAATCACTTTGACCCAACCTTCAAGTGGGAAGATGATAAATTATATCTGACAATCCCCTGGAGAATTAAGGACAAAGAGAGTCATTTCCATTTTTGTAACAACAGTTTTGATTGGACCACCAGTATATAGGTATCATTTACCGAATCATTTATAAATAAACTTAATGAATGCCTTCAAACTTCCCCACTCTTTGATGTTGGTGTAGACTCAGAATCAGGGTATTTTCATTTAACCAACTCTTGAGATTTGTAATTACTCGGTAGAAAATTTTGAAATCAAAGAGGAAATCTAGGTATTTTGGCTTCTTTTTTTGCTGCTGGGATTGAAGTTAGATTACATTTTTAATGAGGATCACCCATATCGAATTGTCTTTGAGAAATACTCAGAAATTGAGAGCAAGACAATTGTGCATCATTAATTTTTTGTCAAAAGGTCATATGTCAGAAGAAAAATTAACTCCATTATAGTATGGAGGAGGACCATACATCAGACACTGACGTTTGTACTTAGGGGATTCCATGTAATAAGGCTGGGACCAACTCCTCTCACCTCCCTCTATACAGCTCATCTTTACTGGTCGCTTCAGGTGCCTTTCAGGCCCTGATTGATAGTACAGAGTATTCATGTCTTGGTTCCTGATCTCAATGGCTGTTTGATACATTGATTAGGTGTGTGGGTATTACATTACCACTGAGACCACCAATGTCATCATACACTGTCACCAATGTATTAGTTATGATCAATCTGTACCATGACCCCTGACCTCTGTAACAATTCCCCACCGTCAATTATTAACCTTTAGAAACTGTATCTTTGTGTGATACCTTTTGCTTGCTTTTCCTGGTCCTACCGACATTGTTAGATACAATATTTCCTCATATTCTTGACAGAATGTTCCTTTCATGCCTGGTGATTTATTTGTTCTAATATCAGTATGAAGTGTGGCTATTGTCATTTTATCAGTAAAATCTGTGCAGGAGTTACCTGCCCTTGTACTGTTCTCTGTGACTGGTTATCAGCACCAGTTATCTATGGCCTATTGTTGGATGGTATTACACATTCAAAACCTAGCTGTTGTAAACATTAAAACCTAGCTGTTGTAAACATTGAAACCTAGCTGTTGTAAACATTGAAACCTAGCTGTTGTAAACATTGAAACCTAGCTGTTGTAAACATTAAAACCTAGCTGTTGTAAACATTGAAACCTAGCTGTTGTAAACATCAAAACCGAGCTATTGTAAACATTGAAACCTAGCAGTTGTAAACATTAAAACCTAGCTGTTGTAAACATTGAAACCTAGCTGTTGTAAACATTGAAACCTAGCTGTTGTAAACATTGAAACCAAGCTGTTGTAAACATTGAAACCTAGCTGTTGTAAACATTAAAACCTAGCTGTTGTAAACATCAAAACCTAGTTGTTGTAAACATTGAAACCTAGCTGTTGTAAACATCAAAACCTAACTGTTGTTAACATCAAAACCTAGCTGTTGTAAACATTGAAACCTAGCTGTTGTAAACATCACAACCTAGTTGTTGTAAACATTGAAACCTAGCTGTTGTAAACATCACAACCTAGCTGTTGTAAACATTGAAACCTAGCTGTTGTAAACATCAAAACCTAGCTGTTGTAAACATCACAAACTAGCTGTTGTAAACATTGAAACCTAGCTGTTGTAAACATCAAAACCTAGCTGTTGTAAACATCACAAACTAGCTGTTGTAAACATTGAAACCTAGCTGTTGTAAACATCACAACCTAGCTGTTGTAAACATTGAAACCTAGCTGTTGTAAACATTAAAACCTAGCAGTTGTAAACATCAAAACCTAGCTGTTGTAAACATTTAACTTCTTGATGTAAAGCTTTAATAAATAATCTGTACTTTCCATTGTTAAGAGTTTAGGTGTTGGTTTGAATGATCTAGATAAATTGTTCCAAGATCGGAATGTACTGCAGATAGGTTACTAGGTAAAACACATTTTTACAATGATTCTACCCAGTTTTCATAGTAGAATTATGTGTTCATTTGCTTCAACCTAGGTTTTATGGACTTATATGTTTTTATTCTTTTTTTCTTTCTGAAATCTTTCCACATGTCATTTTTGACGCTTACTATTAAATGTTTGTGTGGTATAACTGATAATGGGTTATTTTTTATGTAATAAGTAAGTATCCCGTAGGTTTGGTGTTTGACTTTCAGGCCTCTGTGCACCACATGAGTGTTTCCTGCCACAGAACATATGTGAACAGCAGTCATTTCAGTATCCCTGTCGTGTTTCTAGATAATCTATCTTTTTTTAGCAATACAGAGATTATGATTGATAAACATTAAAATACAATTAGGACTGTGTGACTCAGATTCTAACCTTAAACATTGTGTATGTCCTACCTTGTGTATGACCCTGGATGGATAATAGTATTGAATTTGCCCATATACATGATATGGGTGATCTGTGTGTGACATTTGTATACTTTTTTTGTTGCAGACCTTGACAAGTTTTCACCAATGTCATTTGAGCCGAGGTTGATACCCAACTTTCCAATGGTGATTCCGTCTCAAACACGCTTCATTGTGAAAGTGTTTCAGCCAAGTGGACAGCCTCAGCCGATTCTCAGGTGGGTACTCTACATATCTATAGTTGAGTGGACAGACTCTGTTTACTCTCTGATTAGTACTCTCTATGTCTGTCTTCATCCTTCCTCAGTCTCTAACTTCATCGTATATTTGCTTCATCAATGATGCCTTGCTGCCTGTACTCTGCTTTCAGTCAGCACTTGAAGCTTATATTGTGTTAATAAGCTTTTACACCTTATGTTTTGTGAAATTTAGTTTTGTAATGCAGTAGAGTTCAACTATTACAGTGCCAGCCTATAGCCTTGAGGGAAAGACCAAGGATTTCTGTAGGCAGGTCTTTAGCCTGTAACCTTGAGGGAAAGACCAAGGATTTCTGTATGCAGGTCTTTAGCCTATAGCTTTGAGGGAAAGACCTAGGATTTCTGTATGCAGGTCTTTAGCCTATAGCTTTGAGGGAAAGACCAATGATTTCTGTATGCAGGTCTTTAGCCTATAGCTTTGAGGGAAAGACCAATGATTTCTGTAGGCAGGTCTTTAGCCTATAGCCTTGAGGGAAAGACCAATGATTTCTGTAGGCAGGTCTTTAGCCTATAGCCTTGAGGGAAAGACCAAGGATTTCTGTAGGCATGTCTATAGCCTATAGCCTTGAGGGAAAGACCAAGGATTTCTGTAGGTCTTTACAGCATTTGAAATGCACTACTGGATGTTTAGGTACTACCTGGATGGAGTGAGTTATGTGTTGAGATTTAGCACTGTGAGGGGCAGAGAGCTCCATATAACCAGCTGGAATCACACACACCAGTGTTACACTTACTGTTTACATGGTAAACTAATCAAGACTGCTGTTCACACCAAAGAAAACTAGATTTACAGGTACAATAACAGGAAAAATCCAGATGAAGCTGTTTTGGTAAAAACTCTCTTCACTGTGATGTTAAAGTACACTTCCCCCACTATCCCTCTAGTTTGGGTTCCTATGTACTGCAAGACCGCAATACCCATTCTGAAATCTGGTTTCCTTTTTCTTCTGTCATTAAATAAGTGACAAAATTTTCATAATTTTTATCTTCTATCACTGCATTTATTTTACATGTAAAGTATAGTTGTGGTAAGTCATAAAAACTAATGTAGTATGCAGTGTTCCTTCTAAAGCAAGGTCAAGTGAGACTGATCCATGACAACAAGCTTGTTACAAAATAACCATGTTGGTGTGTGATCCTTTAAACTATAACTATTTCAATGTTACCTCAAAATTTGGGTGGCCACAGTTTCAGATGGTTAGGTTGTCCAGGATGACATTAAAAGCTTGGTGAAAGAATGTGGTAGTACAGACAACTTTTCCGGGGCCAAAGGTCATTGCTATGGTGAATCAAACTTCACATTGCATAATCAGTTTTGCCATTTTGTTGTTCCTATAGTAGCTGGCCATAAATAAGATAAAACATCTGCTTCCTATCAGTGGTGTAAGGACTTTGAATGTTTTGTGCCATATTAAACAGCGGTTATATTGCCAGCAAGCTTGTCTCTGGGATTATAACTTATCTTTCTCTATCTGGATAGCTGGCCTCTTCCTAACGGTTACTTGTTCAAGTTTCATCACCTGTCATGCTAATTGTAACCCTGGGAAATGTTTCATTCCAGTAGTCATTCGTTATGACTACCCCCTTCATTTACAACTGGCAGCTCCTTTTTTGGTCATTTGTTGTCCTTCCGAAGGTCATTGTGCAGCTTTATGTGTATCACTACATTAAAGGTCAAGGTCAGGTCAAGAGACTAAAATTCAAAACATTGTGCTAATTTCTTGTATTTTCTTTGTTGAAGTGTTTTCTTTGTCTTTTTTGTAAAAGTTCATATAACAAAAGTTTGATCTGGTAGATTCTCTTTGATTGACTAAATCTAGATGTCTCTCTTATTTATTTTATATAATTTTTTTATGACAAAATTTCCAATACAACCATACTTATGAATATGTTAACTGCCTAGTGATTACAGGTTTGCACTGTTATGGTCAAAATTCAGACAAGATGTTGAAATAAGGTACAACCGTTTAATTCTTTGCTGGACAATAAAATGAAAACTTCTATGCTAAATTTGTCCTATGAAATGTAACATATATGTTATGTAACTGAAGGGTACTGCCATATAATCATGAGAATCACTCTTGTTTAACACTCTAATGTGCATCCGGTATTTCTTTTGATGAGATTGGAAAGTTATTAGAATAGAAAAAGGAAACAACACCTTGAATTTTGTGTGACTACAATATTAGGTTATTTTGAATTTTAGTGGTCAGTAATGAAATTCAACTTAAACCAAGTCGCAGAAACATCTGGTTTTCCTTCTAGTTTAGAGGAAATCATGGTCTATTTGAAAGATATCAGTTTCAAGTTAACTTTAGATGGATTTGAGTAGGTTTCAAAGGTCTGTATAAATTTGTGAATTTTATAGATTTTTCTCTCAAAAGCTGCACTTGTGATAACATAAATATCTAACTAGTTTCCTCATAACACTTGTAATTATCACATGTCTTTTCTATCTCTCCTTACTTGTTTTTTGATGTTAGATATTATGGAATGGGGAAAATACAAACTTGAAGTGTTTTCAGTATTAAAATTAAGAGGCACTCATAAAGCCTAGGAAACAGAGATAGTTTTAATGTCATAATATTTGATTGAAGTTTGTAAAAGAAAGTTTTTTTAAAAAATTTACTGCTTGATACTTATTAGATGATATAGAAATGTTAGAAGATAATTATAATAAAGACAAAAGAGAAATATTATTAGATACAAAAAAAAATTGAGATTAAAAACAAAATGTTGCAAAATTTACAGGTCTAAAGATGTAGCTTGGATAAGAATAATTCAGCTTTACCAAATGTCAAACTATTTCTTTCTCTAACTTTGAACTTGCCAATTCTTGATTTGAAGTACTGATAGTTTTAAGTGCAAATGATTGTAGTTTTTAAAATTTTATTACCTTTTTGCTTAGTGTCATGAAGTTATAGCGAGAGGAAATTATCTGAAATAGGATGTAAGTCTTTGTTTCAACATATCACCTTGGTTCCATCTTTAATCTTCCCTTACATTTGCAGTATTTGTTTAACATGCGGCGCAACAGGGTTTGTCTTTTGCCAAGGGTTGTTACACAGGCGATAACAGGAATAGTAATCTTTAATACATCTGTCATAAGTTGATTACACATAAGTTTTATCTGTTTCCATCATAAAAACCCTTTACGCTACAGTTGTACAATGGTAATAGTTACAGAAACCATGGTGAGAGAGAGTCATATGACAAAAATCACAGTTACATCAATATTTACCTCATAAATTTCACCTATTTGGCAAAAACAAGTTCTGTGTACTTTTTGTTCTGTGTTTCATCACTTTTTTTTCGTTTCTCACTGTTTCAAAACAGAGAAGCCTATAATCATGGATATGTGCCTCAGAACATCTATCAGAACTGTTTTGCTATTTCACACAAAATGCGAAAGAAAAACTTCCTGCAGAAGACATTACATAAGATTTTTTGTGAGAAGAGTAATTAGGCCCTGGAGTTGTGTTTATATAGATATTGTTATTTACGCCACTAGAGATATGCAAACATTTGCATACCATGTTATTAATATCGTGTAGCGTGGCTTTGTCGTAAATTCTCTATTTGAGCGAGACACATGTAACTACCTCCATCTGTAGCCCTATATCAGCCTCCACTGAGAATTTCCATCACTGACTAGAGATTGGCTGGTAATTCCTTTAAGAACAATGGTTGTGATAATGGGCCTAGCTTGTTACCAGCAACATTTAAGATAAAGAATTTCATCTGTTGGTTCCAGCTATGCATTAAATAGGAAATCTGGAAATGGTGGACACATGATTGCTTAAAATATGTCAAAAGTCGGTATGGATGATTTTTAATAAGAAACATTTGCCAGAATTTTGAAAATGAGTGTTGTAACTTTAATCATACACACGTTGCCTTGCAACACAAAAAGCAATCTGCCAAATGCTAAGGACGTCATTACTAAAAGTGTAATTTGATTGGTCAATAAAGGCTTGCAGCTTAACCAATCAAATATTGATGCTTTGTTTTATCATCATTGTCTGCAGAAATTAAACATGCTTGTTCATCAATAGTCCATATTCAGTCATAACTGGTATTGCTTCTCTTATGTTGACAATTGTTATTGTTAATTTTGTTAAAATAAAAATCTTCTTTTCAGAAGATGTATTTAGATAGTGTACTGTTACACATATCTGAAAGTGTCGAGATTATTTGCATGGTTTCCCTGTTGGTCACTTTTCTAGATGTGTAGGACTGACTTTACTTGGATCTGCCAGATAATTATGCTGTGATGAGTAAGCTTTAGTCTTATCACTGTACAATCTCTACTTGGATGTTAATTTATTCAAATGAATCATTTAGATGTCAATTGTTTGATATGCAAACATGCATAATTAGCATGTGCATTCCATTTTTAATGAAGTGAATTTGATTCTAACAGAAACGGCTTCCGCTCATTTGCATCATTTTGTAGATTATTGTTGGAGATTTAAACACAGAGACAGTAACTTGTCATACAAAATTTATTATGTTGTTTTTACTTTTTTGTGTCTTAGCACCTTTAACAGATACTGCTATTTTCCCTCAATTTTTAAATGCTTACTTTTTTGAAGTGAAAAAGCTTCATGATTAATTGTTCATTTGCTGTTGGTACAACTTTTGATGTCAACACATGTACACGTGAGTTATCTGTAGGATCAGTAAGAGATGTTATCTAGGGTAGGCTGACACAGAGCTGGAGCAGAACAAACACCCTACAGGACAATAGTCCACTCACCTTATCACACAACACAATCTCAATTCTCCTGCTTTATGTTCTGTTAGGTTACCAGGGAAACCATCAGACCAGGTAATTTATTTGCATTTTGAAAAAAGAATTCTGATATAATCATCTAAATTATGTCTCTCTGTATATGTAATCGAGAGACAAAGAAAACTCAAAGACATCTGGTGTGTAACTTTTGTAAGAAAGTAAAGTGTGATCAAGGAGGATGCTTAGAATTGCTGGCCATCTTTATCAAAGGAGATATTTCAAGGTCACACATATAATGTGAGAGAGCATAACCTGGTATGTCTATGGTGACCCATGATAAATTATGAAAATCACTTAGCTTTATTCAATACAAATGTGGCTACTTTGATGCGGGAGGGAGAAAGAATTTGTGAGGAGCTGTTCACTCTCAGCCTAGTTCTATGGTTATGTCTTCTCTATGGATATAGTATTCTTAATTACGCTTAATTCTATGTTTCCTCCCGAAAAAATCTTCAAGTATTCCACAAAAGTACTCCTGGATAAAGGTTCTCTACAGCCCTACACTGCTGACATTGGTTCTAGTATTTTTGTCAGTAATGTTTTATAGTGTAACAGCGACTGTGATGAAATTATGATAACTTTTAGCATAATTTTGAAGTTAATCACAGTACTTACACCTATTGAACTTTTTCTGTGTGAGTATTATGAATAATGATTTCGTGCCATAATCATCTGCTACATATTCTACCTAATATCATGCCATCCAAAGTATTATTGTTCAAAAGTTCTGGAAAGAGCCCATCAAATATGATCTATATCCTGGGACTAATATTGTGGCAGCAATTTAGGCAAGCATTTCTGCTGGGGTCCGATGGCAATCTCGCAAATATAATTGGAAAGTTTTGAAGTTGAGGCAGGTGTGTAACCAGATAAGTACGTTATGTAACATGAGGATTTTGGGGGGATTTTCGTAACTTTGGCACATTGTCAAAAACATACGCAGATACATTTTATCTAGATACTTCTTGGGACAAATCTCCAACATTAATCTCAGCTTGTCATAAAATTAAGTCTTTTTCCCAATTTGATGCATTTTATTTGCTTTTGCAGATGGTATGATCGTAACGATCTACTGATTGGGGATTCCGGTCAGATTCATGTGGAAGGAGATGACCTGGTCTTTGAAAACCCGCAGGAAATGGATTCTGGAAACTACACATGCGTTATAACAAACATTGCTGGGGAAAAACGTCAGAATGTTTGGATCATTGTGTCGGGTGAGGAAATATCCAAAAACCACATCAAATTTGGTAGAACTTTCATGCATTTAATAGACAATATATTACTATCACACTGTATAGTGTAAATGAACAATGTTCTTTGATTGAGTGACCTTTCACTGTTCCAAGTAGTAATGCACAAAGAGATCTGGCAGCTATGCTGACGCCGTATCACATGACATGACCAGGTGATGTTATCACCCGTTTAACATTTAACACCACTTAGGCACACCAGGAAAGGAAAAGTGAATATGGTCATGTGATAGACAAATTACACATCAGGAGGCAAGCTTTGATGTTTTTTTCCCTAAATTCCACCTTCCCAATCCATCCCATTCAACCTGGCTACCCTCTGCTCTCCTTACGTTGTAGTTAGATAACTGCCTAGATGCCAATGATTTGAAATGGGCCATTTCTGATTCTGCCAGTAAGAAAACTCTATTAGCTGTCTAAAACATAAACTACAGTGTTCCATTCCCTATAAACTGCAGGACAGATAGAAATGATAAACAGTTCTGTCGTCTGCTCCTAAAATTATTATCAGATTTGCCTACTGTGGGTCTAGGAACCTTAAATATCTGATATATTTACTCAAAATTAATAACAGGAGTGGATAACTAACAGCACTCCTCTTTCTTCTCTTCTTTGTCAACCTAATTTGTTGTGTAAGCAGGGGAAGGGACCGAAATTAACAAGTTACTTTAATGTTAAGGCAAGTCAAACTACTGCATGTCATAAAGCTATTATTTAATTGAAATTTTAACTTTCAATTTCATTTTTTTTGTTTTCTACGCATAAATAAAACATGAAACAAATCTTATTTCAAAAACAAATGTTGAAAATGCTATTTAATCTTATAATTTAAAAAATATTTTTTAGATGAAAGTTTTTAAACGTAGTCTTTATGACAACAGATTTTAAGTTTCATTTTTACTTCCTGGTTTTGAAGTTTATGCAAAACATCAAACAAATTATTCATTTCCAAAAACAAATGTTTAAATTATCTTATCACATGATTCAAAAGATATTTGGTTTTAAAACCAAATTGTTTCAAGGCAGGCATTCTGACAACAGATGAAAGAAACTTGGTCAATTTTCAATGACTGGGTGGGACACATCATTTATGTCATGTGTTAATAATTGTTCATTAACTCAATATTCTAATTGTGCTAAAATCCTTTCCACATTGATTTTGTGTGTAATGGTAAATTTGTTGAGGATTTTTTTAGAAAAAATCGTCTGTGATGTAAACTTCTCAGACAGTTTCTTTTCTCCCCAAACTACCCTACGCATTGCTTCCTCGACACACCATTCATTTCATTTTAAAAGGCTTGATATGCACTTCATTTGGCATTTTAGTGTTAGAACTGGTATTTGTAATTCTGTCTGATGGTTAAAATTACATATGTGTGAGGAAAATGGTGGCTGTAATATACAACATATGTATAACCTAACATTACCCTGCATTTATTGTGCATTATGGATATGATGTACATGATACCTGGTCGAGAAAGGCTAGTAAACCTCTCCGACATTCGTTCTGGTACACCTCAGGAATATCTCATCCCATACATTATTTTTTGTACACAGTTGTCAAGATTACCATAGAATTTTCTAAGTCACGATATTTACAACACAAAAACAAAGATATCAAAACAAAATCAAGGCAGTTGAAAAAATCTATTTTGTTTTGTTCTAGCCTTTATTGTCATTATGTTTATGATTACTTATCATGAAAGATTAACACTTTTATCAGATCAATGCTGACTTACATGTGTTTAAAGTACTGAAGAATAAATCTTAAAATGGGAAAAAAAACATGAGAACAATTCCACAACTTCTTTTCTTTTGCTGGCCAAATCATAAGATACGATAGGTAGCACAACTTGATCAGGCACCACTAGGTATAATAAGTATGTACAGAAGTTTTACAGAGATACACCTTTACACACTAAGGTACAATAAGTATGTACAGAAGTTTTACAGAGATACACCTTTACACACTAAGGTACAATAAGTATGTACAGAAGTTTTACAGAGATATGCCTTTACACACTAAGGTACAATAAGTATGTACAGAAGTTTTACAGAGATACACCTTTACACACTAAGGTACAATAAGTATGTACAGAAGTTTTACAGAGATATGCCTTTACACACTAAGGTACAATAAGTATGTACAGAAGTTTTACAGAGATACACCTTTACAACTAATTTACAATAAGTATGTACAGAAGTTTTACAGAGATACACCTTTACACACTAAGGTACAATAAGTATGTACAGAAGTTTTACAGAGATACACCTTTACACACTAAGGTACAATAAGTATGTACAGAAGTTTTACAGAGATATGCCTTTACACACTAAGGTACAATAAGTATGTACAGAAGTTTTACAGAGATATGCCTTTACACACTAAGGTACAATAAGTATGCATAGAAGTTTTACAGAGATACACCTTTACATATTGAGAAATATCTATACTGTTTTATTCCCCTTAGTACAGTCACTGTAAGCCTTTTGTTGTCTGCTCATTAATCATTTATCAGTTAGTTTTGAATTGGTATTCTCATGTTATAAATCAAAACTAAGGTTAAAATGATTTTTTTTTAGTTTAGTTGTCATTTTTTCTATACTGAAGTTTAGATACGCATATAAGAACCTGATAGATCAACTTCTTAGTCTCTATGTAGCTTTATCTGTACCATGTATAGCTATATGTCCCAGTATTTTTTAACCTTTTTTTCATTTGGCAGTACCACCTATCATCCGACGCCCACCACAGCCTCAGGAGGTAGAGGAGGACGGCATGGTGACCTTCAACTGTCAAGTGACAGGTACTCGGCCCCCAGTTACCACAGTGATCTGGGACAAGGATGGCGAATATGTGAAATCGGTAAAGATGTTACAATGAAAATGAAATTCTTAAATTTTCTATGAATTAGCAATATATTTGGTAGTACAATGAAAGTGCATTACTTTTTATGTGTCTTTACTGACAAGTTTTTATACATGTCATTTAGTTGCTTTTCTTTGTTAACGACATTCCTGTGAAAAATTTCTGTTAAAAATGATTCAATCCTAGAACTTGTAACCTGTGTTATGTTGATGTTGTGATTTTCCACCAAATCATATCTTATGATATACCTTTCTGAAGTGGTGTTTTTTTTTTAATATTTAAACTGCTTCGTATCATATATTTGTGACATGTTTATTTACCTGCTGATAATAGAAAAAAAAGTCCTGACATTACACATTACCATTATATTGAAAGTGACAGAAATTGTAATTTGATTGTTCAGGTGCGACAGATTTTGATTTACTCTTGACAGCAATATGTAATTATTCAAACTTAATGGATTGAGGCATTGTGTTTGGTTCAATGGGAGATGGAAATTGTAGAGCTAGATCGTGCACTCTACCAGTGTATATATGTTTACACACCTGTAGTAGTACAAAACCCGTTTATGACAGGTAAATTATAGATCCAGGTCGTGCATCTGTCCAGAGTTATTATGGGAGGGGATTAGGTGTGAGACAAGAGTCGTTTATGGGCCCTGCTTTTTTCAGATTTTCTAACTTGAAGGATCAAAAATGGCTATAACCCAGCAGGATTTTGTGTTGGAAGGTGAAAAGAAGGGTCTAAAATGTGTTTATTGACTGTCTGTGTAAAACAGAATCCTATTATAACACCTTCAGCTTGTAGAACACGCATCACACTCCTAAATAAACAATAAAAATTGTAATCTTGAAGTTAGATCGGTGACCAATGGCTGGATGTTCTTACTGACACACTAGTATATATTGGCATTGAACTGATAAAGAAACTGATTAGAATTAAAACATCATTGAAATAAACATCAGGTCTGCTCAGAGTTTCATATATGTAAAGAATATTTGGGGAGATGGTAGCTGTTACAAGTTTATGAATATGCTTCTGCCTTTTAATTCTATAATTGTTATGTTTTGGAAGTATTCACACAAATGTCTCTTAAGTTTGGCTACATTCTCTTATTTCAGGGGTCAAGTCGCCATCGCATGGATCTATACAGAGGAACGTTGACCATTACTAATGTCCAAATGCAGGACGCTGGAGCATATGCTTGTGTGGCAAATACAACTGGACAGGACCTGGTATTCTCTGATAGGGCCTATCTCCGTGTCAGGAGTAAGTATATAGAGTGTCAGGGCCTACCTCTGTGTCAGAAATATAAAGTATACTTATTTAGGGCCTACCACCATGTCACAAGGAAGTATACAAAGGTAGGGCCTATCTGTGTCAGAAATATAAAGTTTACGCCTACCACCATGTCACAAGGAGTACAAAAGTATATAGTATATAGTGTCATGGCCTACCTCTGTGTCAGAAATATAAAGTATACTTATTTAGGGCCTACCACCATGTCACAAGGAAGTATACAAAGGTAGGGCCTATCTCCGTGTCAGGAGTAAGTATATAGTGTCATGGCCTACCTCTGTGTCAGAAATATAAAGTTTACTTATTTAGGGGCCTACCACCATGTCACAAGGAAGTATACAAAGGTAGGGCCTATTTCCATGTCAGGAGTAAGTATATAGTGTCATGGCCTACCTCTGTGTCAGAAATATAAATTATACTTATTTAGGGCCTACCACCATGTCACAAGGAAGTATACATAGGTAGGGCCTACATCCGTGTCAGAAGAAAGTATGCATAGTTAGGGCCTATCTCTGTGTAAGGAGTTGTACTTACATAAGACATTGTATACTCCTTTAGGGTCTACATATATAATGTCATGTTGTCGAGGCTTAGTTATTTCAAAAAGTTTCACAAATGTTTATATATTTTTCTTTTTAAGGAAAAAAAAATCAATGTGTTGTTCTTTTTTCCAAAAATACCTAAATATGATACCATATTTGTGTCAACAGAGAGGCTGAAGTTTGACCCTCTACCAGAAAACACGTACATAGAACTTCTTGACCAGGATGCCAGTGTACCATGTTTTGCTGAAGGAGATGGACAGGTCCGTATCAAATGGTTCAAGGATGGTCGCATCAATATTGCTCCACATGTTGCCAATGTGGAAGGCACACTGCACTTCTACAAAGTACAGCGGTCAGACTCAGGTCTGTACACTTGTCAGGCCTACAACGACAAGCAGGGAGCCATTGATGTCACTATCAACATTGATGTTGTTGGTACGTATAATATACTGCTGAATCGCTGATCAGGGTGGTCGGGTGGCGCAGTGGTAATGCACTCGCCTTTCACCTAGCTGTCCATGGTTTGATTCCTGGAATGGATGTGAGAAGGCATAAGGTCACCTACCCGACCACGTGCTTCCATACGGGCCAACAAGAGTGATTAATATAAGTTGGAAAAGTTGTAAAATAAATCCAGATTATTATTATTATTATGTCTGATCACAGCTCCTGACGGAAAATGTTTTCATTTTCTGATAATTTTTTATATGGAAGATGCGGTATCTTTACATGTGGAAAGGTTTTTTTAGATGTTTAAACATTTAGGAGTGTTGATAATATTTAATGTATGATATATCATTTTACAGAACGACCACGATTTCAAGTTCAGCCAAAAAACATCACAGTGTTTGAAGGTCAACCAGCCATGTTACACTGTGTTGCCAGTGGCGACCCACCTCCAATGATCATCTGGGACAAAAATTACTTCACTGACGACTTTGACAAGTCTCGTGTAATTGTAAGTTTTAATATTTCACCAGTAAAAAGGCTATGAATGGCAGGAAATGATATATGTATATATCAGATTTTTTACTATAACTTAAGGGGAATATATATCTCGAAATAAAACAGTTTTTGCTTGATTTTTTTTTCTTCACAAATATTTTGTTGTTTCTGGTACATGTATAAAGGGCACTTCTCCCTCTTTTTTTGTTTCAGAAATACAACAACGGAACACTGTATCTCAGTAAAGTTTATATTCAAGATAAAGGAAAATATGGCTGTACTGCCAACAACACAGCTGGTTCTATCCGCAAAGAAGCTTATTTGAATGTTGCCAGTAAGTACTGCTCTCCATATGTTTGCATGTCTCTCTTTCTCTCTGCGTTTATCTCTCCATCTTTCTCTTTCTATATTTCTCTGTTCCTTCATATTTTCTCTCTTTGCCTTTAACAATCCTTAAGACTGTTGTGTGAGAATTATTTTTTAGTAAAATTGCAATACTGGTCCAATACCAAATACTTTGTTAAAAAATACTATTTCATCTTCAGAATAACACTTGCTTTTGTTATCTGTTGATAAAATTGATAAAACCTGAGATGTAATCAGTGATTTTGCATGAGATGTTATTTATTTGAAGTTTAGTTGTTTTGGTATTTTAGCCTGTTTTTAGTGGTGGTCATGACACTCATAATGCCAGGAAGTCATATCCATCTGAGAGATGTAAGGGAAGCTACTCTTGGAAAAAAAGAGGGGAGGGGAGGAGTTTAGAAGTGTTTTATTACAACAATAGTTTCATCAGTCTTTAATTTTATTTGTTTATTACTAATTTTTTTTTAATGAAACATAAAATCTCTTTGATTTTTCATCTTCTTGGCTGTCAGGAATGCATTCATTATGTGATATTTTAAGAGCAGAACTAAATGATGAAGAACTCTACTTGATATATGTTTGAGAGAAGAATTGTAAATATTTGCAGCTTATGACTCTATGAGTTACTATGGCGACATGCGGTGGAATTCTAGTGGTAACTTGCACGTGCAAGAACAAAGGATCTCATTATTGACTCTGTTGTTCTGCCTTGTACAGCTGTGTTCATGGACGTTTTCCCCTTAAGGATGCTTTTATCATTCCATTTTCATATATCTATCTACATATATATTTAATCATGTTGGATGGACTATGTCACTATGGCAACAGTGCCAAAAATATGGATAAGTAAAATTCGACTTCTTTGCTGCATGTGAAATTCATGGCCACCGTTTTGTCAGCCTAGCTCATCATATCTCATTGCGAGAATGATTCCATCACAATAAAATTTGACCTACTGATAATACTTGATTAATAAAGTCATTTTATATACAAGTTGACTGTTTTTTGTTATGCTTCGTGCTTCCTAGAGCCATATGTGATCAAAATTTCCACTCCCACTTCATCTGTAGACATTTTTCAAATTGGTGTTCGCATGAATTCCTTGGTTTTGTGAGATAGCTTTTACTGTGTCATGTTTGTGAATCTACAGAAAAAATAAAAAAAAATGACCTTGAAGAGTAAGAAGATAGTGTTACTGCATCTGTTAGCTTCTCATAGCAGCTCACTTTCTGGTAACCTCTGCTTGAACTTTGATCCCCGGTATGACCTATGTAGAATATAAAATTCAATTTACTGAACTGCTTATGAATACTGATTGGATGCTGTAAAACGACATCAGTGTGCCCTTGTGTAGAACTGGTAAGGTTTTGATAGAGTGAACAGCACATTTATCTAACACCATAGAAGAGTAGAAACAACACAGGTTGTTTTGGTCAAATTCAATGTTTGCAGCAATAGATATATACCTTAGATGGTATTGTATAGATTACAAGCTTTTGTTTGACTTATGTTTTGAAGAGTTTTTGCATTAGCCATAAAAACTACTAAAATATTGAACTGAAGGGACAACAAAATGAATATTTAGATTTGTATTATAGAATTAACAGATTTTTGTTGTTTACCTGTTAATTATACACAGTTCCTGTAGAGATCTCTGATAACACATTTGTATCATAAAGAACCTATGTTGTCATGTTTATGTTTGGAAAATCATAAGATTCCGTTTGATCGACAGATCATAAAATTTTACTGAATGTCATTTCCAATGAGTTTTGTACATGTGTTATAGAAAGTGGTCTGTTGAACTGAAACAGTCCTATAATATCTGTACCCAGCTGATTTATCAGTAAGATTTTGATTAGTAAATCTATTAGTACATGATTGCTTTCTGCTTCATATTTTCTAATGAATATAAGATGTCCATTGTTCAGTATTCACTTTACATTTGTCATTGAGCCATTGATGCCCGTGAAACTTTCACCTCTCTGTGAAATTCTGATGTGGTGTTGGAATATTTGTATTACGTATGATAATCTAGTAGATTTTTTGTGTTGGTATTTCTGAGGGTATAAAATTTCACCTAATGGTTTATAGTTTCGGTGTTACTTTCTGTCCAAATCTGTCTACGATATGGTGTAACAGCACACTGTACTCTCTACTAAGTCATATCACTAGTGTGCTTGTTTTGATAGCTACCCACGACTACACAAAGAGTGCAGAAGAAGACGATGAGGAAGGATTTGATATGATGAAGACGATCATCATAGCTGTTTGTAGTGCTGCTGCTTACCTGGCTCTGGTCATAGGACTTACAGCCTTCTGCAGCTACAGAATGCTGATGCAAAGGAGAAACCGCAAGTCTCTTGGTAAGTAAACAATATCATTTTTCATCCCTTTCCCTATGAATCTATCTTTTTTTAATCATTTTCCTAATAAACATACTTTTCTGACTGATTACTTTTATTGTTGATGGTATTTATCAGTAAAATGTTGATTTTAAACCTCTAGTGAAGTCAGAAAATGGTGATATCAGTAGAGAGCAGCATGAATTACTGATGAAGGATCGCGACAGCGAGTCAAGGACGCCCTTCCGTAGCGATAGTGACAACAGGTCCCATGTGTCTGGAATGTCCTCACAGCCATCTCACTCATCCCAGTCCCAGTCCCAATGTCCCTCACATGCACGCAGTCGCCGTGGTAGCTACGACAGACTCCAGTTCCCAAGGCAAAACTTACAGACTCTTGGGATGCTTGGTAAGTACTAGCCGTGAATACATTCATGTATGTACAATACGTCCATACATATCCTGGTGCCCGTTTATCTTGAAGTGTTTAGCTCCGGTGAATTACATCTGCCACTCTGTATTTATGAAATCCTTGGGAATGCATACATATATTTCACAATCCTTTGTTTGGTATGACTCGTGATGCTCAATATGTAAATCTTTTTCCACTAAACAAATCTTTCATTGTAGAAAAGTATTTTCAATGACATTTTTTTGCTATTCTTGTTTCTATAGGGAAAGGTTCTTTTGGTGACGTATTTTTGGCGAAGGCACGAGGCATCCGAGATAGTGAGCCAGAGACTCTAGTCCTTGTTAAAACACTTCTGATCAAGGATGAACAGCTTTACTTCGAATTTAAACAAGAAATGGATATGTTTGCCAAGCTTGACCATCCATACATCGTTAAGTTGCTTGGTGTTTGTCGAGAAGTAGAACCTCATTTCATGATCACAGAATATTGTGATTGGGTAAGTTTGTCTTCACAAAATACCATAGAATCTAGAACCAACTTTTACTGTTTTAATTGTTCCATATTTGACCGGTTTTAATGATGATGTCCTGAGCTACTTCACTAATAGTACTTGAATGCTTGTGGTAAAATTTTGGATTTTCCCTTCAGAATTTTATTTATAAGTGTAATTTATCTGATTGGTTCATATGCAAATTAGACAACTTCAACCACCAATACACTGTTTGTTGATTTAGATAGAATTTTGTAAAGGTGTCGCTACCCCAGCCTCTCGTTACGTCTAATGTAGCACAAACATTTGTTTTTGGTGTTGTAACTGTTTTGTTAAGGATGTTGGCATTAATACCTTTTCTCTGTGGTTTTAGGGAGACCTGAAGCAGTATTTACTGGCCACACGTAGCGACAACGGCCTTCGGATTAATCGTGTGCCACCTCTCTCTACAGGACAGAAACTCAACATGTGCCACCAAGTGGCACTAGCCCTTGAGCATCTGTCCAATCACAGATTTGTACACAGAGACGTGGCATCACGGAATGTGATGCTAACATCAAACCTGAGTTTGAAGCTTTCAAGTATGTCCATGTGCAGAGATGCCTACGCATCCGAGTATTACAATATACATCAGAACCTTATTCCTCTCCGTTGGCTGCCTCCGGAGGCTGCATTGGAAAACGATTATTCCACAAAAAGTGATGTGTGGTCTTTTGGAGTTTTTGTGTGGGAAGTGTTTCATCTAGCTGACTTGCCCTATTTAAGTATGTCAAATGAGGAAGTATTAAAAAGACTGCGAGTGAGAGATCTCCAACTCGATGTTTCATCAGATCTCTGTCCAATGGAAATTTCAGACTTGATACACAAATGTTTGAATGATTGCCCCCGTGAGAGGCCCCAATTCAGTGAACTTTGCATTTACATTGGTGATATCATAACTGGGGTGCAACCAAGTATGAACAAGAGCTGAGAGAGGTCAAAGGTCACATCAACATACTGCTGTTTCAACATTTTTGGACTTGGTTCACTGAGATTTTGTTTCCTTTCATCAGTACACTATATATCATACAGAATCTGTTGCGGGGATTGGAGATGTCCTTGCTAAGCAGGATTGGCAGGTTGTACTATGTCATGGATAGATATTAATATCTATCTCGTCTCACTGTGCTTATGGATGAGTGGGGCTGTCCATCTGTCTGTATTGTGCTTATGGATGAGTGGGGCTGTCCATCTGTCTGTATTGTGCTTATGGATGAGTGGGGCTGTCCATCTGTCTGTATTGTGCTTATGAATGAGTGGGGCTGTCCATTTGTTCTTAAAAGATCAGAAAGGAAATAATTTTCTTGATCTCCTAAAATGAAATTGCAAGTGGACGGACAAACATTTCCTTCAAGTCAGGAAGAATGTAAACAGACAAACATGTCCTTCAAGTCAGGAAGAATGTGGACAGAAAAATTGTCCTTCAAGTCAGGAAGAATGTGGACAGACAAACATGTCCTTCCTGTCCAGGATAGACTTATTTGTAGGAAGGAGAAATGCAAAACAGAAAAAGCAGATCTCTTTGTTAATAAATTATGAAGAATTGTCTGTCTGTTTGTCCTTGCATGATTGCAGGACAATATATCTGTCCATCTGGCAATCATATTACGTCCATATTTTATTGTGTACCGGTATGTCTGTACCACATGCAAAGATAAAAATACAAAGCCTTCAAGAATTGTGTGGACAGCTTGTGATGTAGTTATAGTGACTAAGTGTTCTGATTCAGTGTAATATTGATACTGTTTGTGTAATCAGTCAGTTTTATGTTACTCCTATATATTCTGAGAAGATGAAAATGCCTAAAAGAACACACATCATCAGCCAATTCAGAAATTATGAATCATCATCAGTTCCATTGCTGTTTTCCACTTTCGATATATATATTGTACAGTATAATTTCCATTGCTGAGGTTTAATGTGCTGTCTGTGATTTCCTTTAAGGAAAATATTTTATAGGGATAAGGATACATTAGTGGTGAACTTCTTAAATTATAGAGATGGTATTATGTTGAAAGGGGAACAAAGACTTTGTTACCAAAAACACTGTATGTGAATAATGTACAGGTAGTTCTGTTCTGGAAAAGTTTTCATCATTATCTGTCAGCTTTGAGCAAGAATTATGTAGAAATAGGTGAAACTTCAGTTTCATGAATAAAGATTTTTTGATGTTCTTTTTCATTCCTGGACATGATGATATAGGAAAGATAGCCTAGTGCATGTTTATGAATATAATTTTGCTAAACAGATACTGATTTGAAATTTCATGAGATTCCAAGCTATCTGCTGTTCACATGTACATACTCAGTCATATTCTCCTGGTGATGAAAGGCAATATTGACCAGTCAATAGATTTCAATCGGTTTCAAAGCTTGTCATCGGTCGAGTGAGATGTCAAATAAGTTATACCCGATATGTAATGTTCTGTGTAAAATCGTACAAAATTTTACATTGAATTCCTGAACGTCTGTACATTTATGATTTACATTGAAAATGTAAGAGTTACACACGTTAGTATTGTTGTTATTTATTATGCGTAGACTGTTATTGTTGCATTTGTCAGCGTAGATTCTCTAGCTATAATGAAATCCGTGTCCATAGACAGCTAGATTTTACATTGTACAGAAACATTCAATTTCTGTGGTAACCGTTCATCAATATTAATTGCACTTGTTTTTCCAGTTCACGTCAACAAAAGTTCATAAATTTCAAAGTCCCTGTATTTCATTTAAATGAATCAAAGGATATGCTATGATGCTATCAGTATGTCTATGCAAATTCTCATTGGATGTATCATATCGTCACTTTTCTTTCATCTTTGTTATGAGAAATACAGCTTATATGTTCTGTATTGCCCTAAAACATTTTGCCTTATTAAATGAAAAAATGATGCGATTTTGTTGCTATGGGTACCACAGAAATGGCTGTTGTGTGGTTAATTTGTATGTATAATCAAGTGTTTGTTCCTGTTGAAGCTTATGTCTGGAGTTTATGTTGAATTATAATTGTCAACACCTTATTTGATGCCCGTGATATGTATGTATAGAAATATTGTATAACGATGGATGTTGACGTCCAAAAGTCCCCTTAAGCTGTATGATAACCGTACATGTGCAATACAATATAATGTCTGATGCACTTTGGTATGGAAAATGATATAAATAACTTATATTGCTTTGATTTTTTTTCCTTACATTTTGATATCTAGATACAAAGAAGCAATACTCAAGGGTCTTATAACCACAGCCAAATATTTTACTGTCAATTCCTGTAATACATTGGCTTACATTATGAAAATCTGTTTTATTTTTGCTGAGTAAGCAATATGGTCTCCAAACAAAAATTGTTTTTAAAACTAACACTGTTAAAATATACTACAGAGAAACAGTTCCTGGTTTACAAGTCTGTTTCGTTCTTATGACATATCTTTGTTTGTTTTAATAGTGAGTCATTGTAGAAAGTTGTGATTTCTACTTAAAAACTTTTTTTAATACCATTTTCTTGAAAATCTGTTTTGAAACATAGTTAAAACTATGAAGTCTTTGTTGACAGTTTCCTATGTCTTTCATGTGCTACTACAATGTAGTAGATATTATAAATGAACCCTCAACCTTCTGCATCAAATCTACAGTTTCTTGGTACTCAAACATTTTCAGATTAATGGTCCTGATAATTCAGGAAGTTTAACAGACTTTTTCGTTTGTTAATATAGATAATGCCGATAGATTTATGAATGCAATAAATGATTATGCTATATTATCATTGTGCCATTTTTATTATGTACATTTTAACATCATTTTAGTCATCAAATTGACATAGACAGTGAATTGCTGCCGTTCAAAATATGATGGTAAAACTGTTATTTAAAAAGAAGTGGTTACTTGTATGAGACGGATATTGTTGGTAGAGGAACTAGAACACTGTAATCAAGAAAGTAACATTTTAATCCAAATTTTGAAAGCAGTTAATTGGTTGTAACGTGTTTGACTTTATCGTTAAATTGTAGAATGTGTGCTAGAAAGATCTACATGAAACATGCTTGGTAGATTTTACTGGTAACATCAAGCTAAAATATTGGAAGGAAATGTAAATTTTACCTTTACATCAATTTGAATATAATTTTGGAGAGGGCTTCATGTACGCACAAGAAGATGGAAGAGATGGAGGAATGAGTGGGGCTTTATTTGTATGTAGGGGACAACAAGCGTAGGAGTCAGGGTACAAATGCCTTCATTACATATATAGAGTATGTGGAGTATTTTTAATGTTTTGAAATAGGAGACTTTTCAGCTTCTTTTCCCTTGGCTGTATATTGCTGAATAAAATTATTGCTGTATTTACTAAGAGGAATCCTAGCCCTATATCTTGTGCTAATGTATGTGTACGCTATCATTTTGTAATAGTTTTCGAGGAAAAAACGAGAATAAAATGCTGACTTTGTCTGTCTTTGCATTTTCATAATTATAATTAAGTAATGACCATTTTCATAAAATCATAAAACTAGGTTGAGTATGAATGGAGATCTGTGATAAAGATGTTTAGTCTGTATGAATGAATTCTAAATTCAGCTTTGATGAATATTCATAATTGTTTTAGAAAATTGAAGTTTCTTGATCATGTCTGTCTGTATGAGATATAAGAATTCCAATATATGGAATATGATCATATTGATGATAAGAGTAAATTACTTGCTGTATTTTCCATATATATGATTTTTATGATAATGGTTTTGAGTGTGAAATCAAGAATTCAGTACTTTTGGCATAATCATAATATTTTATTTGCATATTCATTATGTGATGTATCATATTATTGTTTCTCTTTACCAGTAAATTCAGACAAAGTCGCCAACTTTTTTGAGACTTGGAAGTTTTTCAGTGTATTTTGGTGGATTATGGGATATTTGTAATCCACAATGTGGATTTTGGATGTCCTCTTAGATTAGGTTCACCATTGATAAGCATTAAAGGACAACATTGTTGTTGTTTGGCTGGCTGTGAGTTAGATGTATATTTGTAACTCATGTTTATTTTGATTAGAAACAATCTGGTTAGCTTAACTATTGTTTAAGACAAAATTACATCAAAATGATACAAATGAAAATAGTTTGATACCAAAATTGAATTAGAAACACTAGAATATAATGTTAAAAACCTAATTAACAACACATACCAATATATACTTAGTAGTACCAAGATAAACTTAGTACCAAGATACACTTTGTAGTACCAAGATATACTTAGTAGTACCAAGTTACACTTAGTAGTACCAAGTTACACTTTGTAGTACCAAGATTTACTTAGTAGTACCAAGATATACTTAGTAGTACCAAGATATATTTAGTAGTACCAAGATATAATTTGTAGTACCAAGATATACTAAGTACCAAGTTATACTTAGGAGTACCAAGTTATACTTAGTAGTACCAAGTTACACTTTGTAGTACCAAGATATACTTAGTAGTACCAAGTTATACTTAGTAGTACCAAGATATATTTAGTACTAAGATATACTTAGTAGTACCAAGATATACTTAGTAGTACCAAGATATAATTTGTAGTACCAAGATATACTAAGTACCAAGTTATACTTAGGAGTACCAAGTTATACTTAGTAGTACCAAGTTATACTTAGTAGTACCAAGTTATACTTAGTAGTACTAAGATATACTTTGTAGTACCAAGTTATACTTAGTAGTACCAAGTTATACTTAGTAGTACCAAGTTACACTTTGTAGTACCAAGATTTACTTAGTAGTACCAAGTTATAGTTTGTAGTACTAAGATATACTTAGTAGTACCAAGTTATACTTAGTAGTACCAAGATATACTTAGTAGTACCAAGTTATACTTAGTAGTACTAAGATATACTTAGTAGTACCAAGTTATACTTAGTAGTACCAAGTTATACTTAGTAGTACTAAGATATACTTTGTAGTACCAAGATATACTTAGTACCAAGTTATACTTAGGAGTACCAAGTTATACTTTGTAGTACCAAGTTATACTTAGTAGTACCAAGTTATACTTAGTAGTACTAAGATATACTTTGTAGTACCAAGTTATACTTAGTAGTACCAAGATATACTTAGTAGTACTAAGATATACTTTGTAATACCAAAATTTGATATGTATATTGAAGGTTTGCTTTCATTCTATATCAGAACTTATTGTCTGA